TGCTGCCCCCCCCCCGGCGCCCCCTGCCTCTGCGGTACTGCTGCCCCATCCGTGTGTCTGTTGTTCCTCCTGCCTTGTCCCTGCCCCTGCTCCTGTCCCTGTCCCTGTCCCTGTCCCTGTCCCTGCCCGCCGGGAGCCCCGGCAGCTCCCGCTGCTGCGGAATCAGGGCCCGGCGGCACCTGGAAGCAATTGCATCAAATTCAACATGCAACACGGACCTACAACCATCAGGGAAACCAAACAGGAGCACAGCGGTGCTGGATTAGTTCTTCTCTGCTTCTGCTTTTTGGACTTCTCATAGGGAATATTTAGGTTTTAGCTAATAAATAAATAAATGGCATTGGAGCATTTAGAAATATAGTCAATACCATTCTTTGTTATCCTCTGTGTCTTTCTGAGGACAATGCAGTAAGTTTGCAGGTATTTGGGAGGATTTTCTAAACAAGACATGAGCAGCTGAGCACAGGGAAATCCCAGTCCCTTGGAGCATCCCAGTTCCATTTTCAACACCAACGTGACTGTGCACGTTCTTCACAGAGCCATTCCCCCTCATTATGAAAATGCTCCCTTTTTGTTGCAGGGATCTGAGCTGAATTTGCTGGTTTGGGATGGTCGGGCAGCTCTGAGGCAGGAGGGGGTGGATGCTCCAGGCCTCGCTGGCTGGGAGAGCTGGGAGAGCACCCGGATGAGCTCTGCAGAGCTGCACGTCCAACGAGGAAGCACCGAGTTTATGACACTCGTTCCTCTGAATCCAAAGGTCTGAACTCAATATGTCCTAAGACTGTCCGCACTCAACTTAGTTTCATTAAACAAACTTACTGGGTAGCTAGACAGCAACTCCTTGCTTTGAAATCCTGACAAAAGCTCAACAATTCAGTTGCTTCTCCATGCATTTGGTGCACTTTTTGCAAGATTTAGGCCAGGCAATTGCAGAACTGCAGCAGTCTAATCTTAGGGTTTTAGTATTTAACTGATTTATTCAGAAATATGTCTAAATTAGTGACTGCTACAGCAGGGCCCTGATGGAAACTCGGTCCTTGCGACTGTCAGAGCATCCTATCCATGAAGTGAAATGATTTTAAAATGATTTGGAAAATGGTAAATGTTTATTAAAAAGGGAAATTATGGGTAGACTGCTGTAGACTAAACAAAATGGTAATTTTGTTAAAATAAAAAATATCTGACAACTTCCCAGTGCTCTCAGGCAATATTAGGCACAGCCTGGGACTCGGGTTTGCTTTCTTTGAGCACCCTGCCCCACTGCTCGTGCAAATTCAAACACGTTCCCTCCTTCCCAAAGAGCAACAGTGAGATTCAGCATCTCTGTGAACTTTGCAGAAACTGAATCCCAATAGAATGCTAAATAAATGCCTCAGACTATCCTTGGTATTCAGCAAACACATGGGAGTCGTTCACTGGATGAATATTTAGAGGCAATTTTGATTACCACTTTAATATTATTGCACTGGCTCCAAAACCCATGATGATATGCATATTATGCAGTTTTGAGAGAATAAAACACAATTAACTACACTATAATGCAGTAAATAATTAAGATATTCCAGTAGCACAAATGGATTCTTTTCCACTGAAGGCCCCCTCTAAAAATGCAGATGATAAATATGTTTATTCATGAGATTACTGTGCTACTTATTTGACAGTCAGTTGATGTTAGCAAAGTTAAAATAAAGAAGGTACAAAATAAAACAGGCTGTTACAAAGCCAAAATCCTCACTGGGAATTCCTAACGCTGAAGGGTTCCCGTTACAGAGAGCAGCGATGCGCCCGCCGAGGAGGCCGCGCTGCTTTGCACGAGACCTGGGGGCAGGTTCTTGCTTTAGCAGAGATTTTTCTTTCAAGCAAGTGGCTCATTTCCCTGTTTGCTGTCTGGGAGAAGGAAGAGATGAAACTATTTTCCTATTTTTTTCGTAGTTTTTCTTACTCGGTCTGACAGTCATAAGGATGAATACAGCAAATATTACAAACTGCCCAGGGTGGGATGGCTTGTAACTACCTAAAGGAGATAGATATGTTTCTAATGTGATAAAAGAACCAAGGACCATTTGAGAACGGAGTTGTTGGTCTGCTTTCCTTTTGTAGGGTACACTCGTGAAATGAGCTCCAATATTTCTTATTTTGCTTTTCTGCGGTGTGGGAGAACATTCCCTGTTCGCTCAGCTCCGCTGCAAAACCTTAAAAACCCATCGTGACCCTCCTAAAGCAAAGCGATACTCTCCCCTCAACAGCAGTATTTTCAAAACTGAGTTGCAAAACCAAACGGGGTTACTCTAACTGCAGACATTACATTGCTGTTTTACATCTTCTGGTTAGAGTAATCACAAAGCATTTGTGATGGCAGGTACTCTCCTGTTCCAAACCATTTGTTGAAAGCCTTTCTTAGGAACTATGGGAGAAGAAAGCAAAATCTCCGTGTTGGTGGGACCATTTATTCCACATACAATATCTTTAAAATTATAAAACATGAATTTGAAATTAACCTTATTGAAATAGCATTATTCACACCATAGAAAATGCTCCAGGACTTCCAGGATGTTGTCACCTTCTCTTCCTCTACAGAATTATGCTCTTTAGTCCTTTCTAGTTGGAAACCTCAATTTTCAGCTTTTTCTGGCAGAAAGTTTTCTGCAGTATAAGACAATTTTTCATCGATGCACACAAGTTATTCCTTGATATCTTAAGAGATGGAGCTGACTTCAAAATGATTGAAGAAACAGTCTCCTTAATTTCCCCGTTTTATTTAGAGCATTTTTACATTCAAACCTACATGGAATTATATCAGGGGAGCAAGAAGGGTATTTGTCCCCATTAGTTTGCCCCTTACTTGCTAAGGGATGTCAGCTGGGTTGAACTGGCACTAGCAAAACCTGCTCAATAATTTGAAAAAAAAATAGTGAAACATAATAAGCAATGAACCTTTCGTTAAGGTCAAGTGAAAATTATGTCTGATAAGTTGCATTAAAACAAATAAAGTGTTTCTTGAACAACAGGAATCTGGTGAGACCGTAGCATATTTTTGATAGTAACATATCAAAGGAGGAGGAGGGAGGCTCTGCACAACCAGCTCTATGAGCCAACTGGCCGAGAAGTCGCTTGTTTTCTT